TAAAACATCAATTGGCTTACAAACACTTCAGCAGAGAGAGTATCTTAATAGGTTATCGGAGTTTCAGAAGCACATTCACTTTTCAACTGAATTTCGCGATAATAACGTCATCCCACCCCCCGCATCTTTCCTCGTCATAATCATCCCAACAAAGCTCATATCCAAATCGCAAAAACTTACTTGTATATGCTGTCGGCAACGGCCAGGCGGCGCCAGCAGGGTGAGAGCGCACGGTTACACCCTATCTCGTTGTAACTTGGCAAACGGCGAACGATAAGCCCCACATTGCGTGCCGAGGGCTTCGAAATGCGCGACGTATACGAGCGCAACGCACACATATTGGAGCATGACGCAGCGAAAAGCCTAATACTTCTTCGGAGTTGAGGCGCGCTCCGGTGATACGCAGTCACGTTCCGATTGGCCCGCCAGGGCCGTAGCTTCCGCTCTACTGACACGTTACGCGATCACGGCTTCCTGGGGTACCCAGTATCTCTTACTTTAGACACTAGGCTCAGCGGCGCCACCAGAGTAATAGCTCACGTTTGAACAATGCAGCCGCCACTCCCAGGGGTACCCAATATTTCTTGCTTCAGTCGGTAGATGGCGCCAGACCAAACAGCATTGCAGGTTGCCTATAAACTTTCCCGGCTTCTGCAGTCCAGTCGACTGGAATGAGTGGACAAGCCCAATCGCACAAAAAACAAACCATGACACGTTTGTTTAATTGTAACGTGTCTCTTTTTCATGATATCTATTTTGTTTTTCTTTTCTAACTGGCACGTGTAGTTTGGTGCCTTTGTATTTCCACTTGTCAAGTTCATCGTCGCTGAGTAAGTTTTCTTTTTAATGTTTTCTGTGTGCCCTCTTTTTTGCTAGCACTTGTACATTTTGTTCTGTTTTACTTTTTAGTTAATTGGAACTTACTACATGCTGGTGTTCATGACCATGCACCATGCGACGCGTTATTCAGCTCTGTTAGCGTGATTACGTTTTCTTTTATATTTCATACAATTACAACATTGTGCTGCAATGATAATATTCGAAAATATAAAACTTTTAACTATCCTTCCAGAGTGAGAAAGTGATAGGAACTGCAGTGTATGTGCAAAGGTAAATCTGCTGTTTCACAATGAGCTATTTATATTTGTCTTCGTGCACGCTTCAAATTTGCCGATAGCACCGGTGCTCAGGTTTTACTGAGTATCGAAGAAGCCTCCCCGATAGCGCCGGTGCTCAGGTTTGATAAAAAAAATTGAAGTAGTAGTTGTTTTCTTGCAAAAACGGTTTTTCTAAGATTACCTACTTCGGATGAATCCAAAATAACACACGTGTTCGAGCGGAATTTTTCCAAGCCTCTCATAAGGGCCTGACGGCTGGACACCTGGGATACAGCAGAACGCTTTGCAAGGATTCGCGAAAAGTACTGTTGGCCCAAGCTCCCGAAGACCGTCCATCTATACGTCCGATCGTGTCACGAGTGCCAATAACGCAAGAAACCACCGACGAAGCCAAAAGGACTCTTGCAACAGATTGCTCCCCTGACTGCGCCCTTCCAGCAGTTCGGAATGGATTTGCTTCGTGGAATCCATCTTCCTCCGGCACGGTGCTCCCGAAGCGCTGATCCCCGATCGAGGGTCATCGTTCTTGGCGCAACGGACGCAAGAAATTCTCCGACTCACCAACATAAGCCACCGTCGAACCACTGCGTACCACCCGCAGACCAACGGGCTGGCGGAGCGGCTAAACAAGACCATAGCCGACGTGATCTCGATGTACGTCGAGGTAGAGCACAAAACGTGGAATAACGTTTTACCGCATGTGACTTCCGCCCTCAATAAAGCGGTCCAAAAGACTACTGGGGTCACACCATTTCAACTGGTTCATGGTCGCAAAGTCACGACGATGTTGAAGACAATGCTCCGCCACAAACCTGATGATGACGACAGCGGGGACTCTCAGATCGTCGCTCAACGGGCCGAGAAAGTCCGACACCTCACCGGTTACAACACCAAAAACGCGTCGATGCACACCGGTACAACCCTCGACGTCGCGACGTCCACTTCCAGCCTAAGAACCGAGCGTGAGTGTGGATATCGATACAACGACGGAGCCTCAGCGAGAAGCTCCTAACTCGCTACATTGGTCTCTACAAGGTACTTGGCCGCCTGGGAGAGCTCAATTACGAGGTGGTACCGTTCGGAAGACCCGCGTCATCACGACGCCGACCGCGGCTCGAGGTGGTTCAAGTCGTTCGACTCAAGCCATTTTACACTCGATAGGGATATGGACTTTTTGTGCTCCCGTTGACTCTCCAGTTCACCGTTCTTGTACATTTGCCTTGTTTTGTTTTGTGCTGCAACGGAGCGATGCGTTCTTTGAAGGGGGAACTAATGCCGCGCACTTCCGTAGCCAAGCCGGCAGCGCACTTGGCTGACACGCTTGTGGCTCGGATTCGATTCCCGGCACTGCGTGTCGTCATTATCTTTCGTGATGTAAGTAGAAGATTCGAGAAGGTTGAAGAACCGTATAAGTTGTTCATGTTCAGAATGCATGGTGAAAAACATTTTAAGCTCCCAGGTAAGACTAAAAAAAACTGCACCGCGCCGTACCAGTGAGTCTCGCCCCTACGCTCTATACTACTGTTACGCTCGCCATTGATGTCTGCCACGCTCGCCTTTTTCTATTTTGTTTTGGGCACAAGTTCGCCCCGATAAACGTTTAGCTCCTTTTAGTCATTCGTCGCTTCATCAATCGTCCAATCGTGACCGTATAAAAAAAATAATTCGTACGTATAATGTACGACAGATATGCTGTTTTCAAATATTATATAGAAGCCTCATACAGGTTTTGGAACAGATGCTTGGCTGCATAGTAACATAGCAGACAGTGAAATTTCCCACGCAATTATACTACATTCATTTATTTAAGGTACCTCGTTGCGCCTATGAAAGCAATAGACCGGGGGGGCACTACAGACGAGCAAAGGTACAAAAACAAAAGGCACATGACATGAACACGCAAAACAAAATTACAAAACTTACATTGTTTTTGAAGAGAGGCACGAGCAACAAGACATTAAAACAGTCTGAAATGTCACTATTTAAAATTTTATTGAAAAACAGGAATGTAGACGCTATGTTCATTGGCATTATTATTATTTTTATTATTATTATTATTATTGGGTAGCGAGTTTCAGTCGCCTCTTGTTGAAGTAAAGAAAGAGTTTTTTAACACTTCCGTCATGCACTGATACTCTCACTTTTTTTTAGTGGCCTCTCTTTTCTGATGTGAAGTGGCAGGCGCATAGAGTTGTTTTTATTTAAACCAAGGTAGTTATCAAAGCTGCTATGACAGAATTTGAACCGCATGGAATGCCTTCTGTGGGCTAATGGGATGAAATCTAATTTTTTTTTTTCAAATCGCTAGCACTTGATTTAAAATTGTAGTTGCTGGTTAAAAACCTGGCTGCCTTGTTTTGAACATTGTACTGTTTAATAACGAGATATGCCTATCTAGGGTCCTAGGAGGCACTGGCGTACTCTAAGATAGATCTAATATACGTAGTGTTTCGTGGATATCTTTAAAATTTCTCTTTACAAAGTTAAGCATGCGAGTTGCTTTTGCAGTTACGTAGCCTACGTGTTTTCTCCGGGTAAGGTTTTCCAAAGGGTACACACCAAGGTACTTTACGTTTTGTACAGTTGCTAGAAAATTTCCGCTGATGTTATATGTAAAGAGGACAGCCCTGCAATTACGCGTGAAACGCACATGATTACAGTTTTTTGTGTTTAGTTTCCTGCCCCATGCATCACACCACGCAAAGATACGGGAGGAGGCTAAATAAACCAGTTCGCTGAATGTGAGGCGTCGTCTTGTCCATTTGCTGTCTCCTCTACGTTTTGATGTTCCTTCTCTACCCCAGTCTGAGGTTAATTCAAAATGGTTGTTATTTTGAATATCATTTAATTTTATCTAGACTAAGGTTGTGCACTTTAAATAACTGCAGGTCTATCTGGAATCTTAAGCTTTTCCGTAGTTTAGTTCATGTATCGATAAGCAGTTCTTTCATCTCGCTTTTCTACACTTCCGTATTCCTGTTGTCACAAGCTAAGAGAAATACGAGGGGTATTTTACCGAGATCTTTATCACAATTTGTCAAGGGTTTCACAAATCCAACGTTTTTTTTAACGAAAGGTTCGCGAAGCCTAATTCATTTTTATTTAACTGTATTCCGGAAGCTTTATTGATTGTTTGATAGACAGGATTCTGCCAAGAAAATTAAAATATTTTGTCGCCCCTCATAAGTAAACAATGCCACGCGAAAATCAAACTCTGCCTGATTATGGCAGAAGCGATGGTGACACGCCATGTTGGTTAATTCTAAACTTGTTATACGTAATGTGCAAATTTAAGTGTCTAGGACAAAATTTAAGTTCGTCTGGTTTATCGATAAAATGTTTAATGATTTATTATGTGAGAGGTAGCAAAATTTTACAATTGTATTTTTCACAAAAGGTTCATCAGGAAATAGTATAATAACCAATGAAAAGTGAGCATCTGTCGTATAAAAGCGCTGCATGTTCCGGTAAAAAAAAAAAAAAAAACTTAATTAGATTAGCCGATCTTCTTCCAGTGTCTCTTTTATTCATTTATTTATTTATCACGAAATACTGTCGACCCGCAGTAGGGAAGTACCCGTTTTTTTTCCTTTCTACTTTTGTTAGCTTCACTCTCCATGTGTACGCGAGAAGCCGTCATGCAGCCCACACACCTACACCGGATATCCCGTAAATAGCGCGAACGATACGAGGAAGTGAATTCGACGAGTCACCAGGCATCGACATATATGTGTGTCATTTTTGTTCTCTTCGTGTTCGCTCAGTTTAATGGGTATCACGTATGAGGCCCAATCGAGAGTCCCGACACCCGTGTGGCAGCTTTGGCGAGGCTTTTGAGAAGGCCCGTAATTCGGTGCGCGCAATTTTCGGAGCAGTGCATACCCGTGTATCGTGGCCAGGCCAGGCTCTGCCGCGCTCAGGTCCAGCATTGCTGCCGCGGCTGTCTGGACCAAGTCGTCGCTGCTCTCGACGGAGTCAACGATGCTGCTCCCGGTCTTGGCAGGCTCCAAGCTTTCATTCTGCGGCGGCATGCTTCAGCCCGGGGCTGCGTTACAAAGGAGTACAGCGTAAATAATCGAGCCGGAGAGGCGAGACATGTTGGCGATGCTCTCTCACTGATACGGACGATGGCGTTTTGACAGGTTGCGAACGGCAGCGTTGCCCAGCTTCGGCATCTGGCGAGTTCCGAGCGCGAAGCACCGCGGAAGGCGGCGAGCTTTTTAAGAGCTCTTGCATTTCTCAAGGTTTGAATTAGAGAGAAAATAAACCAGGAGCAGATTCGTAGCCTCGTAGATTTATCTATTCTTTCTATTTCAAATAGCCTGAAAGAGACGCCACTATCCCTCTAGCGAGACTACAACAATCGACACACCTTTCCTTCGAAGTCTTTCATTGGCAACGTTTAGCAGCGAATCCCGTCGCATCTTTGGTGTGCGGTGCGCGGTGTGGGGCGCTTGTCATGGAGGAAGGAAGAAAAGGAAGCGACACACCGGCTCACTCAAGCCGTAAGTAGAGTTCGGTAACTCCCAGCGACCTCTACTTCCTGTTTGAGTGAAGGGTGCCCAAACCAGCTGTTGGCGCCAAATCAGCTGTTTTTTCCTATCCAATGGCGTCTTTTGGTTTTGGTCACCGGTGGGGGAGTGTCCCTCCAAACCGGAAGTGTTTGCGACCTTCAGCTTTGGTAGCCTCATGTCGCCTCCAGAAGCTTCCCACCTCCATGCTGCTGGTCAACAAAATTTAGCAGACAATATTTCTCGCTAACTTTTGCAAAAACATTACTTTCACGTCGCACGGACGTCACGCGAAGAGTTTTCCCGTTAAATTGAGCGCACAAATTTTGACGTCACGCGAGATTGTGACCGAACGTGGCGTAACAGGACCAAGTAACGCCCCAGTTTTTGTTAGAGTGGCGTCGCAAGGTCCCCATTTCTTCGCCAACATTAGCGGGAAGCGTACATTTAGCGAGGAGAGTGGTAGTCACGGAGAAATTTAATTGTTTGTCGAATTTCGGACGGTGATGTCTAGGTCTCGTGCAGCGCAGTGTGCAGCACCTCCGCTGGTGTCTAAGTCAGAATTTGAGAAGAAAAAAAGGCCTGTCCTGCCACAAGCGCCGTAATATTTTACCCGACTGAGGTCGAACCAAGTTTAATAGAAATAAAGGCTCATGAAATGCGCCATCCTGATTCTACATTCGTGTCTTTTTTTTTTTTTTTTTTTTTATGAGCTAAGCTTTTGTAACATACACTTTGTAAATAGCTTGAGACTCAATTATTCGGCTTATTAGAACTGTAAGATAAGATTACCCAGTCACCCTTTCTAGTGAAACAATTTTTTTAAGCAAACTTGCGGTAAGGTTAACTCCGTCCTATGACACAGTGGGCGGCCACGAGATAACTTAGAAAGAAGATAAAATTGGTTAATTAGATAGCTATTTAACTCGACGATTTAAATATCTCCTTTATTTCGTTCCTGAGGGCATGATGCACTATAGCCGGTGACAGGTCAAGATCAAACTGCAAGCTCCTCCCACTTCTTTCCACTTTAGTAGTGCGAACGCTGGAGAGGAGGCGACCTCCTCTCCGCCGTTCGCTCCGCTGAAGTGGAAAGGGGTGGGAGGAGCTTTCACTTCGGTTCTTGACCTGTCACCGGCTATAGGAGAATTTACGCGTGACCTCTTTACAGTCTAGCAATGACGCTGATTAAAAAACATGTACTGGCCGCCACGGTGCGAGAAACCCCAGCTTTGTAACCTGCATCCAAGGCGATTTCAGCCGGTAACGAGCGCCCCGCCGCCCTGCGCCGGCCCGGCGACCCACGTGTCCGTACCGAAGATGACGTCAGCAGTGCGACCCAAGCGCAGGAATAGATCTCACACGAGCTCTTTGGTCTACAAGCCGTCTACAAGAATGACATTTCTCGCCGCGTAGCGCCCATCGCGATTTCTTGAGTAAAAGTTTCATGTCGCGGCTATGTCGCAAAAATGAAGACAAGCGCAAATTTTCCAACTTTATTACGTCCCAAGAGTTTCACTTTAAATACTTTTTCAGAGCCTTCACTTTATTAAGTAACTAAATGAACCAATTTTGTCCCATTTAATTTCGGACGGTGATGTCTAGGTCTCGCGCAGCGCAGTGTGCAGCAACTCCGCTCCTCTGCGGGTGTCTGTGAAGCTGGAATTTGAGAAGAAAAAAAGGCCTGTCCTGCCACGAGCGCCGTAATATTTTGCCCGATTGAGGTCGAACCACGTTTAATAGAAATAAAGGCTCATGAAATGCGCCATTCTGATTGTACATTCGTGTCTTTTTTTTTTTTTTTTATGAACTAAGCTTCCGTAACATACACTTCGTAAACTTTGTCCATTGCCTCCCTTTTGCTTTCATTTTCGTTTAAATGTTGTTCTCGCCAAAAACGTACAGCAAATTGCTGGGGTAACGCGCCGAGAAAGTGAGAGAGAGGACGAGACGAGGAAGCGCGAAGACGTCAGAGCGCCGAGCTCTGATTGGAGGGATTAGCGGGTTGAGACCTCAAGCTAGCCGCCATTGTCTCAACTGCACTCGTCGAACGCGCTAGAACGCGAAACGCTGGCGTCCAGCGCTTGGCTCTCGCATCGAGCGCATTCGACGAGTGCAGTGTAGACAGAGGCAGCTAGCTTTAGGTCTACCCACTAATCGTTCCAATCAGAGCTCGTCACTCTGACTTCCCTTCTCGTGTCCTCCTTTTCCTCCCTTTCTCGGAGTTGCATACGTGAAACGTTCGAGCATCACAAATGCTTAGCGCTACGCTGATTTTCCAGACGGCTACGGTCACGGAGCTCTTCATCGGAGAGTTTAACCCCTCCCCTCCCCTCCCCTCCCCTCCCCTCCCCTCCCTCCCCCCCCCCCCCCCCCCCCGAAACAAAATCCTGGCTACGTGCCTGCCCTACAGCAAATTGAAAAGAAGTTCCTGCGGGGAGCCAATGTTTATGTGGATAAGGAAAAGAGGGACAAAGACCAAAATGAACGAAATTGAAGAAAAATACTTGACAATAGCACTAGCAAGTTAAAAACCAGTAGAAGGAAGGGAGGTTTAATTCATAGTTGGCAGTCAAGCGATCGGGTGTCTTTTATCCTATATCTATAAATACTGCAAGTTCAGCTGGTTTCACTAAACAACAGAAACTTTACTATTACCGCAAAAGGAACGAATTGCTCATGCACTTGAAAATAATTAAAAAAAAACTCGTTCTATGAATATTTATTTACCCCACTAAAGCGTTTCACCATATAAACCATAAAGTACTAAACATTAAACGCTATTGTTATGGTATTAGACGAAGTTGAGCATTACTAATCCAGTCTTTCTTGGAGTACCGGTCTCAATGTGTTTCCATACATTCTACTTTTTTTCCGCTTGAAGCTATTGCTACAGGTGTGCCCCAGGGGAGCATGCTAGGCCTTTTTCTGTTAATACTTTACAATAATAACTTTTTTTAATATAGTCACATCAGCAAGATTAATAGCCAATGCCGACGATATGACTCTTCTTATTACTGGTACCGATCTGACTAATATGGTTTCAGAGGCAAACAACTCATTATTTCATTCAAAGCAATATATGTATAAAAACTGTCTGAAAATAAACCATAAGAAAGCTAAAGCCATTTTTTAGACCAAGAAATAAATTAATTTGTGTACAAAGAGATCGTTATCTTTATAACTAGAAAATAGAAGTTGTAAAAGAAATAAAATCTTTGGGCATTATTTTTTTTTAACACCTCACATAGGACATTCATGTTATTCACGTTCCTCCCGAAATGAACAAAATAAACGGCTTCGTGAATAAATATGAATACAGCCTTGTTAAATCTTTTTTAAAAAATATGTGCAATGCTGTAGTTATTTTCACCTAGTTTATTGCCCTCTCATATGGGGCACAACTAAAAAGCAGAAAAAAACTTAATTTGATTCGTACTAAAAGAATCAATTAGAATAATAACAAATACGATATAGCTTCGCCAATACTGGAAACTCCTCCGAAAACACATAGGAGCGGCGGCGAACGTGACAGTGGCGCCTCTAGCGGACTCGGAGTCTACGGAAGCAGTCGACGCAATGGAAAAGCGCAGGCTACGCGACGTCCTCGAGCTTTGCGAGCCCCGTTTTGTCACCCTAACAACAGAAACAATTTATTACGGTCAGTTTGCTTGCAAAGCGGAATCCACTGATCGCAACTGCAACGACAATCGAATAACAACGCGCGCATAAACAAAGATAGAGCAGTTTATTTAGCGGTCTCAAACGCCTCTCAGGGGATCACAGGCGTTTGAAACGCGTCTGGGAAGCGGAAAAAAGGCGTTTAGCTACTGGAACTACGTCGTAATCGTTAAAACATGCAAAAACGACATGTTAATATTACCAGAGCAAGCGCACGAGCTGCTCGAGCATAAAAACAAAACAAAAAGTAAGGATAAAAATGACCGTGCAAACACTTACCGAACTTTGCAGAAAAAATGGTGTCGCCATTCCCGACGAAAATAAAAAGAAACGGGAAAGAGAAGCGAACAACGGCGAATAAAACAAAGAAGCTAGCAAAAAACTATTTCAACGACGACGATCGTTGCGGCGCTTATAGAAAAAAAAGAAAGAAAAATGAAAAGCAGCAAATGAATAGCTGGTGGTCGCCACCGGTGTTGAGTTCACGACAAACAAAGCGGAAGCAATAGACGAACTAATGAAAAAAGAAGAAAGCGTCCCTTTTTTTTTTTTTCAGCTGCTTGTTTTACATTTCTTCATTTGCTTTCGCGGCGTAGGTACGAACTAAAAACAAGACAGGGGAAATAAATAACGTAGTGCAGCTCACACCAGTGTTGCGGAATGGGCACCCCCATTCCATTCCAATTCCATTCCGGGGAATTAGAGTTTGCGATGATTCAATTCCTTTGAACTCCGGGGAATGGGGACACTGGGCCCATTCCCACTCCTGGAATGGCTTAATCGTTCCATTCCATTCCTCTAATTCCGAAACGTAAAAATTGGCACTTGACAGCTACATTGTGTTGCCGGTATA